CATATACTTGTACCAACATCGTAGTATAATATTATCTTGTTTACCGTGCGTCGGGATTGTGTGTCATCCGGCCGTATAGGCAGAAGCTCATCGCGGGGGCACGTGCTAATTTGGCTTAAGGTCTCAACAGAGTTTCCGGACATCTTGATTCCGGTAGTATTGTATATCTATATGATGTCAAACAGTCGTCGTCGTTGCCGCATTGAAACCGTTTCTTTGACATTTTATCTTAAACACGTGTCAGAAACGCAATACGTATCTAACCTGTATACATATTATACGTACTATTATCCTATGATGCGCATCGCAACGGTGCAGAAAAATAACACACACGTAACTACAACGTATGTATAAATTAACGCAGAAAAAAACAACTGAAAAAAAATACATGCTAAATAGTGTAGGTATATATAGTATACGGTCGTTATTTTCAACCCCAGAACAGTAAATAGCATAAAATACTATAGCATCGTGTTTCTAAAAAAAATCTTCTTAATTTCAAAACGTTTTTTTCCGTTGTATATAGAAAATATAAAGAATAACCATTACGCATATTATAATTAGCTATAGTTTTAAATGTGTCAGTCACGTAGAAATTAAATATTATATTATATAAATGGTTGTAGATAGGTACATTAAATTTAAATTATCATAATGTATTCTATAAATATGTGTAAGATAGTTTAGTTTAATTTACATTTCGTGTTTTATTATGCCGATATTTTAAAATTAATTTGAATTAATAATGGTCGTAAGTAATAAATTTAAATATAAATCACCTTATTAGTGAAATCATAACATAAAAATAAATAATTTATAGTTAAATATAAACGAAATTAGTGGTTGCGTAGATAATTTAAAATATCATAAAAAATATACACTCCAAGTTCCAATTTCCAATAATAATAAAAAAAAAAAAAAAGCTATTAAAATAAAATAAATCATTAGGTGGTTACTCAATATAGATACTTTTTAATTTTCTACGTTATAATGACACTTTTGAGTACATAAAACTAGAACATATGTTTTATTTATAATAAACAAATGAACATAAAACAAATTATTTACGAGTTTATGTTTATTATACCAAGTGGTGGTTGATAACAACTGTGTTCTAGGCAGCTCTGGATAAATGTATGTGTTATACCTTTATACATATTATTATTATTCATCATAGCGCCGTGTCATTTTTTTTTGATAATTTTAATACTACATTTCACACCGATATTCCTTTTTCTGTCGAACATCTGATTATTTATCTTCCAATTATTTATATATCATACGCGATGATACATATTCTTATTAGATATGTAGATTGTAGGCATCATAATGCTTCATTTTGGGTTTATAAGTATATATTAAATATATTGGAAGAATATAGGAACAAATTAACAATTTAAAAAAACATCTATCAATCTATAATTTTAAATTTGAATGTGTTAAATAAAAAATTAAAACTGACGTTCTATAACAAACCATTTACGTAATTCAAACTAGATTATAATAAAATATTATATTATATGCCATTAAACTTAATAAATATGATATATATCTACGTATTAATTGAGCCTATGTGTAATACACTTTGGTAGTTTTTATGCATTTACTAAACTGGCAGTACTACAAGAATAATGATTTGTCCTATAAATATTTGACACATTTTTAATTTATTTAGCAGATTAAAAGTATACGTTTATTATACGTAGAAATTAATGCGTTGTACTTTCTCGGTTAATTAAAATATATTTATATCTTTGAGTTGAAATATATTTAATTATCATATATATATACTATGTTTTTGCGTAAACTTAAAAATAATATTTGATCCACTATATTACATTATACACTATACTATACATTCTATTTATACGGCCCGTTGACCGAGTGGGGCGTTAATATTCCTAAATAACGTCTCCTGATTTTAACATTATAGTATTATGAAAAATGAAAATTTCACATTTTATGTCATTTAATTAGGACTATAGATTATAATTTATTCAGTATCTTAAAAATCGCTTTATTTATGAACAATTTAATTTATTGTCATTGTATTCATTTCGTATATTTGGAAATAGATTTTTAGACATTTAGATGTAAATTTATCATATATTTTTTTTATAAAACTCGTTCTTTATAGTGTATTTATATTCCTGTTAAGAATAATTATTATGATAAAATAAAATAGGTATTAATAAACAAAATAAAGTTAAAACATAATATTAACTGATAACGAAATAAACAAACAAATCTTTTATTATTTTAGGTGTAATTTAATATGATTTTTATGATATTATGGTCATGCAGATTATTATTATATAGGTGTACTATATTGTAGTAAATATGTTAATCATATAATTAAATTGATTAATGACTATGTAAAATGTTAACTTTATATTATTATACTCACTAATAAATGATAATTGAAAGTTCATAATTTCAGATGATTATTTACAAATCTAAAATTGTGTATATGATTTTAAGAAAATGAATAAATTGAATTATCTGTACTATTAAGTATGTTTATATAATACTTTAAAATAATAAAATTATCACTTATATAAACATTTTACAGCATTCCCGGTTCATTAAAATATGTAGACGTCTTTATCGATTTATGACTTTTAAATAAATCAGATTAAATCATCTTAGTCAAAGAAAATCATACTACTATTGCATACGTATTACAATCATGAGAAGTTCGTAACACGCATATGGATATATCTAGATAAAAATGTTATGGAGGGGCCTTTTATTACATAGTGAGCATTTTTAACCAGTATGTTTTGCAAGATTGTACTATATTATAATTTAAAAATTAAATAATATCGTACTTTAAGTGTCAATAAACAGTGAGATCGGGCGTGGAACTATATATACCTACAGGCTACTTTACGCGGATCATTATGATTATTCGATTTGTGTACCTATACATACGAGTTTATAGCATTAAACTATTGAAGTAAAAGAAAATTAATAGAAAATCGTTCTTTTGCCGCGGATTTGTTAAACCATAATGGTATAAGGAAAATACAACAGTATTACGTTTAATGATGAGTGGGTGTAAATGAACGCATACCACGAATAATGTATGTGATTGTAAGAAAAAAGCTTTGCTGCAATAATTCGAAAAAAATGCAATCCGAAGGGCCGTCATCTCTTATTGCATTTATAGTGGTATGCAAAATTAAAAATTAAAAAAAACATTTTCAATTCCAGCCACATCTTGGAAAATTTTGCACGAATATATAAACGCAAGTATTATTTTTTAGAATTATAATCTGGACATGAAATCAATTTTTATGTTTCACTTATTTTATACAATTATTATTATTTCAAAATATATATATAATTCTTATACAATTTGAATACATCTTTAATCGTATTATATAGTTTAAGTAACAATAATAATGTTACATGGCACATATATTTATATATCTGTATATAGGTATCAATTCTACATTCCGTACAAATATAATATGATTAACTGCTGGCCGATACATTAATAATAAATTCACACACGATTAACTGTAAGGCCTATCTCCATTCTCCAATAACACATCATGTAGGTACTCGTATATAAGAATTTTAGTATTCATTGCACATATTATATAGACATAGCAACACTTTTCATATATTACTGAACTTCATATGACTACGATACAGCCACCTACTTCTGTAAAACTTCTTTCAACTATTTTATAAGTATTATTGTTTGTATATATTTAATAGTCAATAAAACTTAATCATATATCTAAAATAACTAGTTATTTAAATACATTTAAGATCTTTATTATATTTATCTGCCACCTGTGGCTATACGGTATAATATCATACCTGCAGCAAGTAGATTATTACCTACCTACTCCGCGTTTTTCCCCAAATATAAGCTTATGCTTGCTATTTAGTAAGTCACTTTAAAATTATATTATTTTCGAGCACTATAGACACCAGAAAATGTAATTCATAAGTATATGATGCATGAATTATTATAGAAACTTAGCCAACTATGACAACATTGATTTTCATTTAAAATACTGCTGAACATTATAATAGCAGATTAAACATTTCCATCAGAGTTATTAAAATATCAGTTTTATGTTTTATTAGAATAATAAAGGTACCTAGCTAGTTCCACTCTCATTTTTTACAATTTTATATCATTTCATTATGTATTTCACTTATGAATGACATTTTATTTTGAAGACATTAAAAATTTAATCTTTAATGGTCCAACTTGAAATGTGTTCCTCTCTATGACTTGCATACCATGAATTTCCATCCCATAAATATGGTTCCGTACGTTTTGGAAAACTAAACTTTCCCAATGTTTGAAATAATACTATTTATTATACAAGAATATAAGTACACGACTTTACAAGATTGATAATTGGAGACTTTATGTATATAGTATAAATAATATAATTATTAATTGTATTCAAAATAATTGAATATGTATATTGAGTGTAATGAGTAAGGTGAATTAAAAAAATTAAATATTTGAGAAATTTAAACATTAATAACCATTAAGCGTGTAATTTTTTGAAGTATAACTTATATACATATACAGATTTTCTAAATTTAAAAATATATCTAATAAAATGACATACAAGTAAACCGTATTTATTTTATGTGCACGATAGGTACTAAAATTTATTAAAATATTTCAGAAAATTGTATGCATTTTTTTCCAGAAATTTTCTTCTAACGTCTTTATTGTTATAAAATGTATGTACATTTATTCAAAATGTCCGTTGGAAGCGCTCATCACCGACTTAGGCGTACAATCATAGATATAGATATAAATGTATACGTATATTTTATTATTTTTATTCAGTTTGAACGCACGACCGGCGTCTGCGGTGCCGACGGCAACAGGAGTGGAGGGCGACCGTTTACCCTGGCGTGGCGGGCCAATGGCAGCGGCGCGTTCCCCGACTCCGGCCAAAGGATAATATAGCGCGGCGGCGCGCAACACAAGAATAGTACTTATGCCGCCGCCGCCGCCACAGTGTGTTTATATTATTATCGCCGTGTGCCACACAACAGACACAGTCCACCCGACGACCGTACCGCTCGTGTGTTTCGCATCAGTGACTTTTCTCGCCCGCGATTTCCGTATTATAAATATTTTTTTTGTACTTTTGTCGTTTGAAAAAAAAAAAATCGATCGAAATCGAACAGTGCGTGTTCATCAATCGTTTTGTCTCGATACAAATTATTTTATACATTGAAAAATCGCGTATTTAACTCACTTGCATAAAATATACGTATTATATCGCACCGGTCTAATAATATACGCGTTTCGACCATGGATTTCGTCGAGTCCCGCGAATTCATCTGACGACCGGCGTTTTATTTTCTACCACACATACACGCGCGTTATTATATACATAATAACAAACTAGATCACATTTCATCAGCTCGCCAAGTAAGATTTTATGCTCACACACATTTCGCTTCTTATTTTTATTTTTTTTATTATTTTGTTGTTGTGTATACAACTGCATTAAATTGTTATATAATACATAGTTCGTCCTGTGGGATTCTGCAAAATATCCTGCATGTGTGTTACACTTGTACTGCAGACGTTTGAAAATTTACTGGTCTAATAATTATTGTTTACTTTTTGATTTACTTAACCATAATCGCCACATAACGAAAATCGGCTATAAAAAATTAGAGTTTATTTAATATGAGGTGATTATTGCTATTTTTTAGGCTAACCATTTTTCAACTGAAATGTTAAGTACGATATAAGCGGTTTTAACATTGGCGATGTTGGGTTGAAATATATTATAATGCATATAAATAGGTCCCTGTAGACTATAGTAATATATATTATCATGTATCTATACATACATAGCACTGTATAAGTGCATTTAAGCGCAAATCATCGCGCGATGTTTTTCGATCGGAGGACACATGCGGGGTCGATCGTTGGTACCATCTGTTTTTCTTGAAACGTCCAAAATGTGGACCATGTCAACCCTGCGTAAGAAAACACATTGCACGGTGTAAACAATAACACGTTGTAGCAAAGATAGAATTTTTATTATAAACCCTTAAATGTAGTAGGTATCTATACTCCGAAGATTGGAATTCGATTAAATTCATGGTTGTAACAACAATTTTAGTCTTATTCTGTATACCTATATGCAATAAATGTACGAGTATGTTGTAAAATTAGATTTTCTTTTTATCTTAAATTTTAAATTAAATTTTTTCTAAATAAAGGTCCTTGTAGGCAACATTTAATAGATTTTTATTCACAGTCAATTGTTATATCATAAAAAATATTTATAGATATACCTAATACCTACATTATTATACATATTTATAAATTTTTTTCTTCGTGTTTATATAAAATACATTTACAGGTTAATAATTGGTCTACTTGTAATTGATGTCAGCTAGTATTAAATTATTGAGTTTTTTTTTAGATTTTAAAAAGTCGATACCGTTATGGTGTTAACTGGGTGCTGATTTAAAATAATAAATCTATAACTCGTGATAAGATTTAATTGTTTCACAGTAGTTATAATACACTTATATATGTATATACTGCTGGAAAAAATATTATAAATCTCCAGTTTAATTAGGTGCTGGAAATGATATAGACTCTGCAAACGAGTGCCACGTATAAATAAAAATCAGGGCTCAAAATAATTCATTAGCCAGTCGTTTTCTCCTACTCTCTTGAACACCACTATATATACGTACATAATAATATAGTGGCCACCGCCATAAATTGTAACACATTTAAACACCGTCTCCTCGGTTTCCCCATGTTGATCATAGCTCATATCTATCATATTAATATACCTACATGTCCATGTAAATTATTCATAAATTTCTCGCCGTGATCATAAGATAACCTACAGTATGATTTTCACAAAAATATTGAAACCTAAAATGTTAGTCACATATAGCTCAGACTCATTAATTCTGAACCAGTCAATTTTTATCCATAGATATGATGTGTACTATTATTAATAATTCAGTGACATTATAGTTTACTTAATCATTTAACTATAAAAAATATGTTAATTGACTTTTAAATGCAGTGTAGGTATTTATATGACAAAGGCTGTACATAAATATATGTAAATCTATAGACTTAGAGACTCATAGAGTTTATGAGTTTACTAACAAAATTATCACTACTAATTATTTTGTGTATATACTTAATACTTATACATAAATTCATAAGACTCACGGGCAATTTATGTCGAATAAAACTGCATTTAAATGTTGGAACCTCAGTAGACACATTATTATTTGATGCGCCCAAAATCCCATACTTAAGCGTGTATCCCACGCATATACTCCATAAAATCGTATCGAGTTACTTGTTACGATTCGCAAACGTGCCGCGGACGTAATCTTTTCATCCTCCTGAGGTCCGTCTATACTACACTGTATTATAAAGTATGTAATATGTCACAGCTAGATTGAGACGTTTTGCGACCACAGCATCACATCATGTATAGTATATCCGGTTTGAAGGGAAAAAAAACAAATCCATCTCGCCGGACAGACATCACGAAACATCTCTTTGTATCGTTTGACTTTTATTGGCATTATATATATATATATATATGTAAATATACACGTTAATATGTATTTCTCGTCCCCTAAAACTACACGCCATAACGTCTTGCGTTTAGACGATAAATTTCGGCCGTTTATAATGTAAATCCGTCACACGATACGGTTTTTATGAGTTCAATATGATGACAGCTCACCGAATCTCGAAATTAAATTATTATACTGTGAAAATAATAATTGTGATCGGAGCTTCGTTCACATGCTGATCACAAACACACACACTGCACGCGGACTTATCACATGGTGCTTGCGGTCGTGTAAAAGACTTATAATATATTATATTATATGAACAATAATAATTAACTCAATGACCGGCAACCAAACATTAGGACCATAATCATTAAGTCATATTCCATAGTAATATATACGAGTGTAGTCACTTGATTTGATAGCTTAATGGTTATGTATATTTTATATGAATATATTTTTTTTTTTATTTTAAATACCTACATATTATGTATAATATAATACACGGACGAGTCCAGTGTTGAGGAGTGTTAAAAATTACGATTCTATCATTAAGCTGACCTTTGAGTACCTATCCTCAAGTGTCAACAGTGAAACACCTATATAATTCATATATTTTAATCCACTCATAGACTATAATTAAGTGTAACACAACAATATTGTAATAATTCAATACTTCGCGTGTATAACATTTACGGTCGTAAAAAAGTTATATTCGTTCGTCCAAATTATTAATGTAATATGATTTCGATAAGACGAACGAACAAAATATACTTATCATTAATAGTTGGGATTAATTCAAAACAATTAAATATTTATTATCCAAAATATGTGTAGATACACTTAAATATAATTTAAATAGAAAATGTTTCACAGATAAATACACGCGCGTATAATATAATATGTATACCATGCATACGATGGTTCTGATAAGAGAGCAAAAGAAATCACAAGTGCAGTCGGTAAATATAATAAATACATTTAGAGAAAAAAATAAATCTGTCTACTAGTTTGTAAGCCTATATCAATACTTACCAGGTGTACAAATATAATCTTTAATATCCAATTTTACGATTAAAAAATAATTCAGTCTATGCGATGAGTTTCGAACATAATGTTTTAATAATAGCGTTATTTATTACAAGTACCGGTTATGTGATGCGATGTCATTTATATGTATATATATATATATATATATATATTAAAGAAATTAAATCCGTACCTACAGAAAACATTTATGTATTATAGTACCGCGGTTGTATTTTAATACATTAATATAAGTATCTATATGTTTTAAATGTAATAAGCTCGTTGACGTATTATGTGTACACCATCAGGACGGAAAATAGTAAATATCCATCCATGAAGCATAATATATTAAATCAAACACCGTTTATCGAATATAGTGTTTTACGGTATAATATATGATATTTGTTTAACCTTCTTTATCTTGTATGCGCGTTTATATTTATTTAATCCTTATATATATACATATATATATATATATTTATATGCTGTTTAGTCGCAGTAAAAATACAGCAGCAGTAGTATAGAGTTTATCGCGTAGGTATTATTTGTTACGATTTTAAACAGCTTACAGGTTATACATATTATACCTATATACCTACAATCTTCATCAATATATATATATATATTATATACAGGCTTTACATGTACGTTTAAATCTCCCGTCCATCACACGCTTGCACGTCATTCATCGTTGTCGTCTCAATCGTCACTGCAATGTGATGTGTACCTATAAATATGAAATTTTAAACATCGCATACGTTGCTTGCGTCGTGTAACAGCTAAAATGTTAAAACTCTGCAGGCTATTTTCGGGAAACAACTCGTCCTTCGACACCGTAGCGCGAGATGTACACGCTCGCGGGGTGAGTTTTTCTCGGGGGTTGTCCGCCACCGGGTGGTTGACGTGCTCAAACAGGTGTTGTGTGCATGTACGTATGCGCTGATGCAGTGTGATGATGATAAGGGACTATCGGTCAGGCCCAGTACAATAATACATTATTTTGTGTTATTGTTGGAGACGCGTGCGCGTGTATCACGTAATATACATAATATATATACAGTTTAATAATACAACGCGGGTGTGTTAGTCTTGACGTGTGTGTGTACAGAGGCACAGAGCGTACATAATAATAATAGTAATGTATATAAACACCGGGCCGAGACGATGTGCAGACGAAATGTACGTACGCGCGTCATTTCTCGTGTATACTGTGCATCATAGTGTTATGGGGTGTTGATAAAACCATTAAATCCGTGACGGCCGCACGCAGGATGGATAATAAACAGATATCATCGGGTATCGATGCCATAATGACTCATAAATGTATGTAAACTAATAAAATACACCTAAATTGTAGGTAGGTATGTATAATGTAGTGTGCAGATTCGCGCGTATAATAAGCCAGCATCGTTTTATTCGTAATATTATTGCACTGATAATACACGCGTTCTCTGTACGATATCTGTAGTTATTGATATAATTTAAATAATCAAATATTATACGTGCGATCTGGTTAAAATTAGTACGGACACATCGACATGATAAATAATACAATATGTGTAACATACCCGCGCTACCCTTAGATCAAATATATATTTGAAACATGATAATATTATTGTATATTATCTAATAGCTGTGCTATTTACCTAAGTATTGCACTATATTTTTGGACAAGGTAGTTAATAATATTTATTTGTAATGATTTAAATAAAAAAAAAAAATAATATGATTTGAGTATCATGCGAGTCCGATAGAATTTTCAGTGTAATGATCACGTAGTGACACATTTAAGTGACGGCCGACTGTCGGACCGTAAGTATACAT